TAATGCACTTGAATAATCAGGAGAGAAATCTGCCTGTAATTTTAATTGAAAATTGTATACACTAGATACACTTTTGTAATTTATTGGGTATAAACCCCTCCCCACCCACACCCACACCCACACCCACACATGCAATCCTGAACCCTAGTAAGATCCTCACTTTTCACTGATGACTTCTCTCTGAATCTACTGTTTGTAAAGGAGACATCAGGCAATTCTGTGTGCCAGCCTCTCTCGCTGTCGCTCACCTCATTCTCAACAGCGAGGGACTCGAACGAGGTCTGCTGAGCCCTTTCTGAGACCCTCATGTTTTCACATCTTTGCTGTGTTTTGGAGCAGGTGGTAGGTGAGCCCTGCTGTGGAAGGGAAGGTCTCTTTTCAGGAAGCATTTTCAAGTTGTGAATCATGTCTCTTCCAGCTCTCTAGTCCAGTTACTTTTATCCCTGTAGCGACATTCTCGTTTTCCTGAATGCTGGACCCATAATGAGCTTTTCAAATGTTTGCCTCAGCTGACATTTGGAGGAAAGAAATTTTTCTAATCAGTTTTCTAGAGATGAAGTTTACCTCTTATGTGCCAGGATCTGTAAGTTGCGAACAATTTTTAATGAAAAACACACTTCTACTTTCAGATACTAAATATTAATTTAAATTTCTGTTGACTCAGCATTAATATGATTATGTAATATACCCACTCACCCCTTCGATAACAAGGAATGTGGGGTAATTTTCCACCAGTGATAAATAGCCCAGACTTCTGTGTGCTGTTAGGGTCTTAAAATATCCTTTCCATCGTGTGTGTGTGTCTGTCTGTCTGTCTGTCTGTCTAGCAGGTCCCTCCTCTAAACTTATTTGTAAATTAGAGGATCGAGCTTTTATCGAAGCTAAAAGAAATACATTCCATATGAATGTTGTAACTAGGTTTGGCTTCTCAGATGCTTTTTGTTTAATATATCTGAGGTTGTTATATAGTTATCTTCTAGGTATTAGCATATTACAGTTGTCTTGATTATGAAATATGAGAAACTTGTACTGGTTTTGTCTCAACGAGAGAGAAAGCTGCTTTTGTGCTGTGGTTTCTCCTGGATTGCACTGCTAGCTTGGCCTCTCCGTTACTTTGCTAACGTACATGCCAATGGGGTCTTAGAGAGGTTTACAACAGCTACGTTGAGACAGGGCTTTGGAGTCCACAGCATTAGAATCTGTAGGATTTAGTCTCTTCTGTTGCTTCAGTTTGACTAGTGGTGTCAGGGGCTCATTCAAGTTCTGGAGGCCTGTTCCTTGTGGGGAGAGGCTAACGGTTCATGAGGCCACTCCTGGTGCGCAGGTTATGGGTTGTCAGTGGCTTCTTGAACAAAACCTGGAAGGAGAGTTAACCATACCCAGGGAGAGTGGTGATCCTGATGAGTGGTGCCTGCCAGAGGAAAGAGTGGGTGCCAGCCTGATATTTGAACTAAGGGCCATTAGTAGTCGACGCCCCTCCCCACCTGAAGCTGATTATTACGGAGCAGTGATCTTTCTCCTCCACTTTTCCCTTCTCCTAGGAGTCTTCCTTCCTTTTTTATCCTAGCCTCTTCCTCCCCCATCTGGTGTAAGAACCCTTCATTGCTGTTTTTTCTTTGTTGGTGCTTTACCTTATATCCAGACCAACATGTTAATCACCTGAATAGAACTCAAATCACCTTTTTAATGGAAGGCAATCTGCTTCCGTCCCCTGTGCCCCCATACTTAGAAGAAATTGTGTCCTTTCTGACTGCAGAGCCAGTCCCATCAGAAAGACTTTGTACTCGTCTAAGTTTCAGTTGAAGAGTGAATCCCTCAGAACCCCTTCTATTTTTTAAAAAAAATATATTTTTATTGATTGGGCGGGGGGGGAGAGAGAGAGAGAGAGAGAGAGAGGAGAGAGAAACATCAATGATAAGTCATTGATCGGCTGCCTCCTGCACGCCCCCTACTGGGGATTGAGCCTGAAACCTGGGCGTGTGCCCTGACCAGGAATTGAACCTCAGTCTCCTGGATCACAGGTCGGTGCTCAACCGCTGAGCCACGCTGGCTGGATGCCTCTTCTATTCTTTATTATTGTCTGTTTCCTATTTTACATTTCTCTAATATTAGCCTCTGGCTTTCTTTTAGAATACCTAGTGGCTTACTTCAGTTGATTTATATTTACTGAGAAGCTATTAAAACAAATCTATTAAGAAGATTGGTTGTTTTCTGCTTTTGTTGAAGATACTACCCTATACACTTTGTTTAGGATATTAATGAAACTTGGATGCTGAATTGAGCTTCTTGACATTTTCTCCATTTTAGTTCTTGGGAACATAAACTTAATATTCTCCCCATCCTCTCCATATCTTGAGGGTAAGGAATGTGATTGTTGCCTCATGCTGCTCACCCAACATCGAGATTTTAAAATATCCTTAGTGGAAGTTACTTCCCAGTTTCCTCTCTCATGTGTTCCAGTGGGTTTTACCTGATTCTCTTGGAACAATCTTTTTATGAGTCTTTCCCCTATTTTCACATTACTCCCACATGGCCTCAGTTGCAGAATTTATTGCATTTTCTGCTGTGGGAAGGAGGAGGAAGGCTGGAGGGGCAATGGCTTATTTCCTGAAAGATGTGCCCAAACCCTGCTTCCGTCCAACAGGTGGCAGAGTCGGCGGCTGAAGTTACTGCAGGGCCTGCACAGAAACCTCTTCTCGAGACTAGCCCAGCTTTCTGATTTCAACCACCAGTCAGTGCGTTTGAGGTATAGTGTAGGAAGTTTCTTCTTTAGGAGAAATTAGACATGGATATTTTGATCTGAAGGAATTTGAAGAGATTATTTAACCTTTCCCCTTTCATTTTACCAAAGAGGGAAATTTAACTGCTGAGTTCATAACTTCCAGGTGTTGAAGTTCCCGCTCTGTCTGGTAGCGTGTAACATGCACTGCTTATGTCATGTTATACACTAGTATGAGTTGCAGCCTATGGTTAAATTTCTTTTTCACTACAAACTCCTTTTCAGTAAATGACAAAAGTTCCTCCTGCTTTTCTTAAGTAGTTATAAAGTTAGATTTAGGACAGAAGGACCCGACAGTTGGTATGTTACCTGTGAGTGGCGAGTCCTGACTGAAAAGCTCTGATTAGGAAGCTGGAGTGGTCACACGTCCCTGTTTTCCTCCCGTCATCGTCAGTCTTGTGCTTATTGTGAAACTACTTAGAGCAAGAGTGGACATGGTGTTCCAGTGGAAATACGTCTAGATATTTCCTTTCTAACTCTTATATGATTAAATGATTTCCCCCCCAAAGTCAGTTTTAAGAACCTTTCTTATCTTGAAACCCTGCTTCTAATTGGACACAGTCAAAAGGTGGGAGGAAGGGGGGACACATACACAAAACCCTGGAAATGGCTTTTGTCAGACTGTATCCAATTCTGTTAGCCACCGAGGGTCTTTTCTTTTTTTTTGCTACATACATCCCTTTGGAGTTTCATTTCCACCCAGTGGTGAGACCTCCATAATTTTTGAATATTGGAAGGTCATCACTGCAGCAAAGGGAAAGGTACTGGAGGTATCTGTTCTGTGGCACTTCTGCAGGTGGGTGTTTGGTTTGCCACTCCAGCCCCTGCTGCTGCTTGTTCGTTCCCACCTCCTTGTTGCAGCATATAGTTTTGATTTGGACAGGAATGGTTTTGACCATTACGAATGTAGTGTGAGATCTTCATTTGGGAAGGAGAGCAAATTGATTACTTATATCTTTATTGATAGACCAGAGTATTAGCTCATTCACAGTAAAGTGGGCAAGAGAAGAAATGAATTGCACATATTTATTACTTCTTCTACTACTTGGTAGTAGCTGTCCGAGAAATATTTTATGAGGAAGAAGATTGAAGTTATTTTGGGCAATAACCCAGAAGAATCTCTTGTCCTTAACACTGTGCTTAGATGTTGTTATTTTATTGATTTTTTTTTTTTTTTTTTTTT